CCCCCCGGGAGCCGGGCCCGGGGGAGGAGCTGGTGGCCAGGCCTATACCCACGGGGCCTGGTTGGGCTCAGCCCGAAACCCACTCTTCGGTGGGCGCACCACCTGCTGGAGAGGCCGTAGGGGGCTGGTGCATTGTGTTTTGGGCAGTGGCCGGGGCCGAGTGTCCGGCCAACCCAAACCTCAGACACCAACTGTGGTTCTTGGGACTTGGAACCTCACTGGTGGGGAAGGAGGCTGAGCCGGTGCAGGAGGTTGAGAGATACCATCTAGATATAGTTGGGCTCACTTCCACTCACAGCTTGGGTTCTGGAACCATTCTTCTCAGTAAAGGGTGGACCCTCCTCTATTTTGGTCAGGGGAAGGGGCTGGTGTGGGCTTGCTTTAAGCCCTTAGCTCAGTCGTCAGGTGTTGTAGACCACCCGGGTGGATGAGAGGGTCGTTTCTCTGCGCCTTCGGGTCGGGGAACGGTCTCTCACTGTCATTTGTGCTTATGCACCTAATGGCAGTGCAGAGTACCTGGCCTTTTTAGGGTCCCTGGGGGGCGTGTTGGATAGTGCTCCCACAGGGGACTCTGTCATTCTACTCGGGGACTTTAACACCCACGTGGGCAATGACAGTGATAATTGGAGGGGCCTCCCTGATCTGAACTTGAGTGGTGAGTTGTTATTGGATTTCTGTGCTAGTCATGGTTTATCCACAATGCACACCATGTTCAAACATAAGGGTGACCATCAGTGCACATGGCACCAGGACACCCTAGATCGGAGGTCAGTAATTGACTTTGTAGTTGATTCATCTGATCTTTGGCCATATGTTTTGGACACTCAGGTGAAGTGATCACCACCTGATGGTGAGTTGGATTCAATGGCAGGGGAAAAAGCTGGACAAACCTGGCTGGCCCAAGCGTATAGTGAGGGTCTGCTGGGAACATCTGGCGGAAGTCCCGGTCAGAGGGGTTCTTCATCCTGTGGGAGGTACTTCAGGATTATGGGATGCAGGGCTCATTGTTATGGGCTGTTCATTCCCTGTATGACCAGAGTAGGAGCTTGGTTTGCATTACTGGCAGTAAGTCAGACCTGTTTCCAGTACATGTTGGATTCCGCCAAAGCTGCCCTTTGTCACCAATTCTGTTCATTATTGTTATGGACAGAATTTCTAGGCGCAGCCAGGGAACAGGGGGTGCCTGTTTTGGTGGCCACAGAATCTCGTCTCTGCACTTTGCGGATGATGTGGTTCTGTTGGCTTCATCAGTTCAAGGCCTACAGGGTGCACTGGAGAGGTTTGCAGCCGAGTGTGAAGCAGTGGGGATGAAAATCTGAGGCCATGGTTCTCAGTCGGAAAAAGGTATGGTTGGGGGGCGACTTTCTCCCTCAAGTGGAGGAGTTTAAATATTTCGGGGTCTTGTTCACGAGTGAGGGAAAAATGAAGTGGCAGGTTGACAGACAGATCGGTGCAGCGTGCACAGTTATGTGGTCTCTATATCGGTCCGTTGTGAAGAAGGAGCTGAGTCGTAAGACAAAGCTCTCAATTTACCAGTCGATCTATGTTCCTACCCTGTGACCTATGGCCATGAACTTTGGATCATGACTGAAAGAATGTGATTACGGATACAAGCGGCAGAAATGAGTTTCCTCCGGAGAGTGGCTGGGAGCACCCTTAGGGATAGGGTTCGGAGCTCAGTCACCCATGACCCATGGGCAGACCCAGGACATGTTACTATGTCTCTTGGCTGGCCTGGGAATGCCTTGGGGTTCCTCCTGAGGAGCTAGAGGAGATGTGCGGGGAGAGGGAAGTCTGGGAGGCTCTGCTCAGGCCATTGCCCTCGCGACCCGGTGAAGTGGATGAAGATGGATGGATGGTCACGGATGGATGCATAAATAATTACAGCCACCAACTGCACTATTTCCTTAAAGGTCTACTCATCCAAAGTCTGTAATTAAGCATCACTGGAGATCAAAAACTCCACATCACCTTTAAGATGATGTTCAGACTCCATGGAAAGTAAAAGAAGAATCTTCCAATTCAGTCCAGTTCACTCCATGGTGATTCCCTGTGGGAACGGTTAAGCTGCATACCTCTCTAGTTCTGTCTGAAAGGATGTGCAAAGCAGTCTGACATAATGCAAGAAGTCAGAAGTTACTCGAGGCCCACAGGCACTACAGTCACACACACACCCACACACACATACATGCAGTCTCCCTGTTGTCACTATAATTACTCAAGCAAATATGGTCTCCTGCCCACATTTAAAAATTATTTCTGTGCGTGTGTGTGTGTGTGTGTGTGTGCATTTTTACTCTCTAGAGTATTTAAATGCTGTCTCCTCTCTTCCTCCTTTCCGCTTCCTTCAGAGTCCTGAGGGGTACTGTTTAATCTCCCCTTCTGGTTGCTCCCATCTTTATTTACTTCTTCATCCTTCCCTCACTCCCCACAGATCAATCTTCAGGGAGAAGCAGACACCTCCTCTTTGCCACCTCCTCCTTTTCTACTCTGCTCACACATTTCTTCTCTCCCTCTGGGTCTCTGGGCTCCCTGTAGACCCTATGGATACACCCTTTCTGTATTTCTCCTCTCCACTCCTTTTTCAAGAGTCACCACTGATCCAGTCCCTTGCTTTCTCTGTATCACTTTGCTTTTCTTCCTACTTCAGCAGAGCTCCGGTGAGTCACCAGCCTTTGTCCAGGCCTGCGGGTATGGTAACGTCCAGCCTACCTGCACACACAAACACAACAATAATATGTCATGCAAACACTGAAGCACCAACATATTACTCATTCTGCCTCTGCCTGGCTGCAGCATGGAGATGAACCTCAAGTCTTCCCAAAATATTATAAAATAGTTTTGAAAGCTTCTTCATAAACATTACATACAGAGAGCCATGTGCTGTAAAGAGACAGGATGAGGCTGTAGCATCAGAGGTTAAGACACAACTTTATAGATAAATGTTAAATTCAGCTAATGAAACATTTGTTGGGGTGGCGCAGCGGTTAGTGCTGCTGCCTCACAGCAAGAAGGTTCTGGGTTTGAACCTCATGACTGACTGGGCCTTTCTGTGAGTAGTGTTCTTCCTCCCACAGTCTAAAGACATGAGGTTTAGGTTGATTGGTGACTCTAAATTGCCTCTAGGACTGAGTGTTGGTGTCTGTCCTCTGATAGACTGGTGACCTGTCTAGGATGTACTCCCCCCTTCTTCAGATTAAGCAGTGTAGATAATGGATGGAAGGAAACATTTGTTTATAACTGGCATGTTTGACTACATCATGTACAGTAAAAATTCTTTCAAGTGTCATCTGACTTTGTTGTTTTACGCCCAAAGCATTGTCACTTATTTTCTGTTCTCACAACGTCTGTCCTCCTTATCACACCATAGACAACACAAAGGAGAAATCAGCAGGTCACAATACCTTCAAAGACAGATGCTTTTTATGCCTTTCTCTGTGTGTTTGTGTACATTCACACTTCTGGTGTGATGAATGCACTTGCTGTCTGAATATGTCTGTGCTGTTAGTGAAGTACATGTGCCACCTCTGAGCTGGACTCACCCACAGGGAGTCCAAAGCAGGAAGACAAGCTGAGCAGCAGCGATTACTCACACAGCCTTTTTCACAGTGGCTGTGAGGATCTACACTGCGCTTTCATGCCTCACACACACACACACACACACACACACACACACACACACACACACACACACACACACACACACAAAACTTCTAATGTGGTTGTTCTTCTCATCAGTGGTTCACAGTTGCAGTAGAGTCTTGGCTGCTTCTAACAGCAGCCAAAAGCGGATGGATTCACTGTAGGGCTGCAGGACACACTCCTGAACACACACAGGTATGACACACATGAATACACAAAAATATTATGTATTGTGAACATCCATTTGTTGTCTTATGTATTGTAGCACAAGTGCAGTCAGTGTTTCTTTTGTACTGTCTGTTGTTATGGAGTGAGTGAAAACATTATTCTCCATAATGAGTTACAAAAGCAATTTTAGGTGGGTTGATGGATAAGTAAATATTGTCTGCTGCAAATATTTGAGTATTTGTTCAGCCTTTTGTCAGATTTTTGCAGAATGGCTTCAGGGATGGTAACGTCACTTGATCCACCACTTACATTTTGTACCGGCATTCGTGGTTGACACAGGATGAACTTTTCTAACTGTGGTGGTGGTTTCATGACTTTTCCTCCAGCATCAGCATGAAATTGACCTTTTTTTAGTTTTGTTGAGAAATATCTCATCAACTATATATGTGAGGGATTGAAATTTGGCTCAGACATTCAAATGTTGCCCTCAGGATGATTTGTAATCACTTTGGTGTTCCCTTAAAGAGCCCATGGCATGCTCATTTCCGGCCATTTAATATTTAATCTTGGGCACCTCTAGATTAGCTTTGCCCCCATCACAAAGGTGATGTTGATATTTTTTTGTGTTCTCAATGAAAAAGGCCCATTAAACTAGTTTCAGATTTATATGATTCACAGGATCACAAGTACTATATACCACGGTTGTATACTTGGCATTCTCTTATAAGCTACATTGTTTTTTTTGTCTTATAAACTCAAACTTGCCCACTCACCCTCTGAATTCTGGCACAGTCAGTTCTCAAGAAATGTAAAGTAGGCGTGTGCCATATCCCACTGCTGTGCTTCTCTTTGTTCTCCATTCACAGAAATCTGCGCCCTTCCTCTTTGTTGTGTGTTTTGTTTTCAGTGAGTGGGTGTTCATTAAGGGGAAAAACTGATGTAAGTTGCCCAAGGCCATTGGCTGTTTGTCTATATGAATCTATATGAGTGGGCAGGTTTTAGAGACACACAACTGACTAAAGGGTTTGATGAGTCTTCTAATGGCCTTTAGACAAGGTGAGCTGTGGTTGTAGATATTTAGGGCAATAAGGTTGTAGTAAATAACAAGCGTTTTCTTTTGCTTAGACTTTCTGATGTGTTGAAGTAGCTTAGTAATTTTTAAGCTGTTCTGTTGTTAAGCAAATATTCTGTGTCATTCAGTCATGGCTGATACACTAAGGGCCTACATCTGACCAGTGCTTCTCCTTGCTAATGCAGTTTTCCTTCTTTTGAGACATTGAAAGCTAGCAACTAATTTGTCACGTTCCAGTTTTTTAAGTACCCTTATGGTGCCTCAAAAGCAACTAGAGTCACCAACTAACCTAATATCTTTGGACTGTGGGAGGAAGCCAGAGTATACAGAGAAAACCCACACAGGCACAGGAGAACAGGCAAACCCCACACAGAAAGGCCTCAGTTAGTCACAAGGTTCAAACCAAGGGTATCATTGCTGTAAGATGACAGTTCTAACCACTGTGCAACCATGTTCCCCATAAAGCCACCATCAAAAAGCTAATTGTTGCTTATAAAGCTGATATATACTGCTGATTGGTAGTCACCTAATATGACTTATTAAACTGCCCAAATCATATTTGAGAATCCTATTAAATGTTTGGGTCCAGTTTAGTTTGTATGACATAAATGCATTATACAAATTTTAACTATTGTTCACTCTGCAGCCTGTGTGATCAGGTAGCAGAAGAAACCATAATATACAGTCACACTGTGTATATATATATACAGTATATTCATACTGTTGTACACATGTGAAACTAGGCCTCAACTTATTTAAAATTAAAATGAACAACAATAAAAGTATTTGAAGCAAATAAAAGGTTTTAAAAGCAATGCTACAAGATGTGAAGAAGAATGTGGTGCTGGTGCTGCATGAAATATTGTGCCTAAACTAAATGTAGAAAATCTCACAAAGTAAGAATCACTACTCTAAAACTGTACTTGACAACCATGCCTACAGTGCATAAATGTACTAAATTGCTTTGGTGTCCACCTAAGTAGCACAGTTTGGATCATCACCATGAATGTGATTTTGTATCTCAGCCTCTCACACTCGCACAGTAAGCAGTGCTTTCAATTTGACAAATGACTACAGAATCCTAGAGTTGATGCACAGTCTCTTCAACCAACACAGTAGGCAGGTACCTCCCCCTCACTTCTTCCACACTGCAGAAACCTGCAAAATAATATTCAGCCACAAAACCCCCAGAACAGACTTCATTTTTTCGCTGCCCTCAGGTATGAGGCAGAGAAGGAGGCACGGTGATTATTACTGTGCCATGATATTATTGTAAACCTGCTATAGCCAAGAAATGATATCCTCCATCTAACATCAAAGCTGTTGCCATAAACCTGCCAAGAAAATGGCTGAGGGGGAAAATGACATTCATGAAGGTCACTGTATTACAGCCCATTCTAATAGAGCACTGTGGGCTTAGAAAAGCAACGTCTGGCTACAACATTTGGATTCTGGGATAAAATTTTGCCTGTGTATTTTAGCCATTTAAATCTTTTACTCTCCAGAATGGAGAGTGGCTCTGTAACACTGAGAAACCACACCTGCACAGGAACTGCAGCACAAATAAAACCAGCACAGTATCTATTGAGGACGCAGACTGCAGATAGGATGAAAACATGGCACAGCCTCCATTTTAACCTGGATATGACACTTGTGCACTGCCTCGGGCTCTGATTTATGTTAAAAGCGGCAGTGAATTGTAAAAGATATGTGAGCATGCCTGAAGGAACAGTACAAGTCTTCCTCCATTTGTCGGCATCTGTTAGAGTAAAACAGGACTCCTAGCACTTTAGTTAAGAATGAATGGCATGGGAAAAGTGTCCAGTCTGCTTAAAGTTGTAAATATATCTCTACATTTTTTTATGTGATGTCTTTTCAAAGATTAAATCCAATTTTGTTGTTTGGGGGTATCATTCTTATTGTAGCTAAGGCCTAAATACACCATGTTAGACACTATTTCCTGGGACAATGACAATACAGTAGGGTTTGTCAGAAGCGGGTCTAGGATGTACACTGCAAAGTAGAGGACTTTGCCCTGGTGCGCTTGTGTGGGTGTACACTATGTAGTGGAAGAAGGAACTGTCCCCAAAGCTAGAGAGCCAGTGGGTCGGACCCTGCACTGTGCTGGAAAGACTGACAGGTGTGGTGTATAGGGTGAGACTGCTAAAGCAGAACAGGGTGGTGGTGCTCCAGAGAGACATGCTCGCACCATAACGGCCCTTGGCTCCACCTGAGGGGGATTAGACACTGGTAGCTAGTCAACAGCTTCAGATCCCTCTCCACTAGCCCGCCAGGAGCCACCAAGGCAAACCCAGCACCAGCGCAGGCTTTGTGGGTTACTGGGGACAATAACCAGTTAGGTGGGGGCTCTGTGGTGAAGCTGAAGTGGGCTGAATTTTTAAGCAAGGAACTCTTCTTCTGTTTTCTCCCACAGGACGTGAATGCAGCACAAAACAGCCCGAGCAGGAGAGAGAGAAAGAGGCAGCAGTGCCGATGAGCCCCAGTGAACAGCAGCCGGGTCCTTTTTCAAACACACACACACACACACACACACACGCTGTCACACATGCACTGCGCTCCAAAACCCACACAAACAAATGCCAGGACAGTCTTGCACATGCAATCCAGTAACGAGAGCACCATCAGCCCGAGCTATCTGCCACTGTTGGAGGCAGCTCTCACCGCTTCTCCGAGACACAAAGCTGGGAGCCTGCTGGGGAAAGGAGCTTCTGCTGCTTTTTATAGCACAAAGGAGAGGAGAGGGGAGAGCCAGGACTTTGTCTGGGGGGCTGTAGATAAATTAGAGACAGAGGGGAGGGCAGGTGAGTGAATGCAGTCCAGTCCAGCTGCTGCCCCTGCTGCTGCTGCTGTTGCTGGAGGAGGAGAAGGAAGAGGAGGTGGAGGAAGCTTAGAGTCTGGAGGAACAACATTTTCCTGCAGAGACGACCAGCAATGATCAAAGCGCCTCCAGGGTTGCAGATGTGGAAGGAGCACTGTGCAAGTTCTAGTCTTGGGTAAGCCAACTTTCCATATTTCCATTTACACACACATACATATAAAGTGACCTGGTGGTCCACTTGATCTGCTGTCTGACACTTTTGCTCACCTCTCTGTGATCCATCACCAAAAAGAGATACAACTCTCCTTCGCTGCCTGTGCCTTCTTCCCTTTAGTCCAGTTTGTTGTGGTTAACTTTCACCTACACAGATGACAAGATGAGCAGGAGGTTCATTTCTGATCATCATGACTCTAGTTTATCCCCCCAGCCTCTGCTCACACTACTATGATGTAGTCCTGGCTTATTATTTTGTTCTCAGATGGACATTGGCTCTCATTATCTCATGCTGGCTATGCCTTTCTGTTGTGATCCTTGAAACGGTGTGCTTGTGTATCCATGGAAGCATAGCCACTCTGTGTGTGTGTGCATGTCTTTGGTTACCAGTTCTCAATTAGGTTTTCATGATCTAAACATGAGTACAAAAGGGATGGCGGCCTTTGATCGATCCCTGCAATCATCCCAGTGTGAGAAACTCAGTGCCCGTTGCCGGCATCACACATCTAAGCCTCTGAATGGGTTCGCTCAGCCCTCTACCTGCTCTCTTCTTTCATTTGTTGTGGCTCTTTCCAGCTCTGAGTGCAGTTCTAAAAATCAGCAGTTTTTCTTTTTTCAGAGGAGGTTTTTTTGCTTTAATCTGTCTGGTTCACTCCTTTATCAGAAAACACCTCATACATTACAGAAACATCTTAGTGGATCATCTTCATAGGTCTAAGACATTTGACAAAAGAACTGAATTTGTACTTCATTATGGCCGGAGTCTGTGTTTTTATTTCTTTAAGTATTTTTGTGATTTTTGCTGGCATGTTCTTGAAGAACTGATTCTCCCAGCATTTCACCAACAACATCACAGTGTTACCTGCTGTACATGAGGCATTATTAGGTTGTGAAAATGACCCGCAGTGTGGTAGAGTAGCTACATGAAACACCAGTAAGTAGTTGTAAGAACCTCATGGGGACCAGATCTGGACCTAGTTTTTGGGCAAATAAAATTGGTTCTCCATTATTCATGAGGTTGGTTGATCAGTCCCCGTTCGGTTGAGGACGATACTGAACCTCAGGTCATCCGTGATGGCCAGCACTTTGTAAAGTGCTTTGTGCACTGAGGTGGAAAAGTCCTAAATAAATACAGTCATTTTTTGTCTTATCAAATGTATATGAAAAGGCACAGAACTGTTTATTTCTGGTCTTATACCATGTGTCATTCCCTACCCATGGATTTCTACCTGCTTGTTGAGAGCCACAATAGGCATGTGAATGCAATTATATAACACCACTTAATGGTACCCAGGGTGCCACTTAGCCTCTCTATTTGACAGATTTATGTGCAAATAATGAATTGTCTATGTGTCCCTCGGAGTACATTGTTGAATCAGGCCTGTTAGTCTCGTCCATTACTACGCCTACACTTACGCTCTCATTTCGATCCTTTCTGTTGCACATAAAGCTGTCAGCTATGCTTTATAGTGATATTACCTCAGCTTAACACTGCCGATGCCCAGCCTCATGGTTTTCAGCTTTGGAGTATTTATGAGGGCAGTAAAGCAGAAGTGCATCTGTTGTCAGCCAGATGAGGACACTGCTGTCAGTATAGGAGAGGGCAGCAACGTCTTCAAAGGAGAAAAGGAAAGGAAGAAGGGTGGTGTAGGAGGGCAGGGGGGAGAGGAGAGAGTGCCCCTGTGAGTGGCTGTCAAATACCTGCAGGCATGCTGACATGTAAGCTGTCACGGTTAAGATGTCCAGCTGGAACCATCATAGGTCTGTGTGTGCTTGTTGTCCTCCCACTCACTGAACACTGGAATGCCATTATTCATGTTCAGACAGTGCCCTAACCTTAATGCAGAGCTTATGCATCTGTGCATAGCAAATCTTTTACAACTATAAAAGTAGATACAATAAATATTCTTCTCACACAATTGTTCTGTCACTAAGTTTGTATTTCTACCACTTAGTGACAAAAGGTGGACATTTCAACTGTTTATCCATTAGCCTACCTTCAGCTATTAACTATTTATCTATTACTTTTATCTGTTTCAGCAGTTTACCCATTGCGGTATTTTAATCATTTAGTCTTGAGTTTAACATTTATAGTTTATCTGTTAGTTTTAATGTTAGCTAACTATTTCAACCATTATTCATTAGCCTGCTTTTAGCAATCTATCATTTATCATTTCCCCATTACTGTTAGTTAATATTTGAACTATTTATTCATTGTTTTTTTTTTAGCTGTTTCAGCATCACTCTTCACTGTGTAACTAGTTTTCACACAATCCTAATTGTATGTGGTGGTGTTCAGGTGTTACAGCCGACTCAGTGTGAATATGTTTTTATTCAAATAATAATTTGTCATTTAATTAAAATTACATGAGCCGCTCCTTCAGAACTGCAGCTCTACCCGGGGTACAGCAGCATGATACTCAAACTGCATCTCTAAAAGGTCTTTAGTGTTAGCACAATCAGACTCAAACATGTTTTCCAGGGTTTAATTAGGAGTTAAGAGTTTTACCTCTGGAAAATAGGCTGAGGCTTTCTTGATAAATTAGTAAGTCAATGCAGCAAAGCACCACATACTGCAGTTTGCTACTGTAGTGCCATTTATTTAGATGACTCTAATAGAGCCACTAGTAACTATGGAAATTTTGTTATGTTTTTTTTAATAGGATCAAGCCAAAGTAATGCATCAACCCGGCACAGTACCACAGAGTAAAAGTGGGAGTCTCTTTATCTTCAATGAATGTGTTTTTGCTGTTTGAAAATGCAATTGATGCCACTGCCCAGTCAGAAAATACTGTATATTTGTCTTTAATTTAAAACTACATTAGTTTACATTTTCTTTTTTCTTTGTTGTTGTTGTTGTAGCTGAACCTATTTATATAATATGATATTGTCGCAGTATCATCCAGCTCAAACACTTACCCAAGCCTTAATATATAGGTGAACCAGGTGAGCTGTCTACTGTCTGACTCTTTCACTGGGTTTACAAGAGATAATTTCTGAACAAAACTGTCTAATCTAAGCTGATGGTAGGGCCTGTGTGACCTTTCCGCAATGGGTCCATGGCAAAGATGAGATACAGAGAGGAAGAAAAGAGCTGAGGGAAAGGGAGTTTTGACCCTTGGATGCTGCATATTTTATGCGAATTGAGGTCTCTGGATGAAAGAATGTGTGATGAGATGACTGTGACATTATGTAAGTGCTAAAAGGGAGGCCAAGGAATCGCATGAGTGTAGGCAAGCAGTGCTTACACACCTAAGAGGCTACATTACATCTAATGCTTCGTGCATCAGGGCGGTGGTTTTTACTGCCTTTAGATCCTTCACACACTGAGCTGATCTACAAACATGGCAGTGTAAAGCAACAGAGGCAGTCCTGTTTGTGTTCACTTTTATGTAAGCCAGCGGAGAGATCAACAATTAAAACCTCTGGTGTGAAGTTCAGGGAGAAATGTGTCTGCAATGCTGAGTTGGTTTATGGGATGAAGCGGAGGGTATTTGCAGAGTTTATATACTTGTCGCTCTCTCCGGCTCATTTCGTTTTATGTATTGGTATTACTGCTGGCAGCTTGAGATGCTTTGACTGGCCAGCCATAAAACAATATTTTCCAGTATGGCTCACCATCATGACTGAAACTGAAAATGGAGCTCTGGTCTGTTCTCTCAACAAGAAAGAACCATCCTTGCCAGCAAAACATATGACATTATTAGTGCTGAAACAATTAGTCTGTTGATTTTTCACCTAAAAAACATTAGCATTAGAGACCTGGCTCTACTGTTACTGCCCAACATTTTAAATGAGATGGATAAACAATCTGGATGCACATACACAAAACCAACCACATAGTAATTACTCTTAAAGACTTATCTCTTGAAAAAAAAAAAAAAAATAGACCCTGATGTTTGAAAAAAATCCTCCAGTAAAATACAACTCTCACATTTATTTGTTCTAGTATATTTTGGTGTCTTCTTCTGCTTGTTCTGCGCGCTACTGCCTCTGGTGGTTGGGGGATATCTGTCTTAACTGGCCCATATTGCTTTTTTTTATTTAGTTTTTTAAATATTGTGATAAATATTGTATCGTGGACTTTTTACGGTGGCACTATTGTACAGTGAGTTTTTGGTATTGTCACATCCCTAGTAGGAAATATAATTACTCTGAGAAATGACAGTGAAATAAATAAAGAAATAAAAATAATACAATGTCAAATATTATTTACAACAATATATTGTACAGATCAATCACACAGCAATAATGAGTGATGAAGTAATTGCTGCAAACCAAAATGTAATATGTACAGTAAATATATTGCAGTAACAGATACATAAAATAGATATGGTATTTGTTGCATCAGAAGCAGTGATCTTCTGATGAACGGCGAGTCACAATAGAGAAGGTACAATAGATAATCAGGGCAAAGAGCTTCTGTTATGCTGCAGTATATTCTTTATATGCTGCCTATTAGCCTTGGTGACCCTTGCTGCATCCAGCATTAGCCTCAAAACACAGTACACAGACATACCACAACTTGATCCTTAAAGTATTGCAGCTGCGTCAGTGATTATATATAATATGATTCACTTAGATATAACCTATATAAAAGCAGTGAGCAATGAAGGGCACCAAGTTTTCATCCTCACAATATAATTTTAAAGATTTATTTGTCTCCTCCTCCAGACGCTTTTGAGAAATGTTTTGCTCCTTCAAGAAAAAAATGTAGCCAGACTCTAAGAGCTGGTGAGCTATTAAAATGTTAAGACAGTTTTCTGAACATGGCTTGATATAAAAGTATCCTTTTTTCTATTTCACCCATACCTCTCAAACACCATGAACTGCATTTACATTTTGTCTGAAATATAGTCCATATTTTCAAAATGAATTCTTCACTTGATGAAATATCACTTATGGACAAAAGTCTAAATTCAGACTTTTATCACTCAATACTTATTGATTTTTAAATACTTT